TCACGATCCCTGTCCGGGACGCGATTCACCTGACTCGCTTCCTGCGTCGACTCAGCCTGGGGTACACCCTTGAGGAGGGATACCGCCTGGCCGGGATTCCAGCACTGCCAGAGGAGGAGGACGAACTCAGCGTCTGCTCCCCCTCCACACCCTCAGCAGACAGAGAGATAGACTAAACCGCTATCAACAGGTTATCAGCCGAAAGCTCTTTGAGACCATGGCGACTGGAAATCCCAACAACCTTGGCGAGATGATCCCGCTCGCCGATGCTGCGGACGAGGACCTCGGCCTGGTGCTCCCCGCGGTTTTCGCGGAGGCTGCGGCCTTCATGTCGCCGCCTCGCCCGCGGCCGGCGCATCGGCCTGTCTTGCCCTTCCGCGGCCGCGGTGTGGAAGGCAGATCCGGTCGCGGTGCCTCGTCGCAGGCCGCGCCTACGCCTTCGGCCGCTGTGCCCGTCGCTGATGCGTCGCGGGCGGACCGCAGCCGCACGCTGCTGTACGCTGGCGCGGATGATGAGGAGCCCAGCGCTGTAGGGCTCGACCTCACCGGCGAGCTGAGCCGCATCATTGACCAGCATGCGGCGCTCGAGACCCGGACGGCGATCCTCGAGTCTGAGTTCCAGGCGAAAGAAACAGCGTTGACTGAGCGTCTGGAGGTGGCTCTTCTGGAACCCACGGAGGCTCTCAGCGCCCAGGCACACGCAGACCTCCGGTCCGAGCGCGGGCTCATGCAGCGCCGGTTGGACGAGGCGACAGCCGCGGCCCAACACGAGTGCCACGAGAGACTTGCGGTGAGCTCGCGCGAGCTCCGTGCGGCAGAGCAGCAGATGGCGGCGACGGACCGCCAGCAGCTTGCCGGCATCCTGGCCGCGGAGTCTGCTGCATACGCCGCTGCCGACCAGAGGCGCCGCGAGGAGTGCGATGCGATCCATGCTCAGGCGCTCCGGAACCTCGAGGCGCAGCGCGTGGAGCTCAGCGCAGTGGTCTCCACGGCTTCCTCGCGCCTGGCCGCCGCGGGCGAACTGGAGGCCGCGGCTTCCAGGGCAGAGCAGCAGTCGCAGGCGCAGGCCGCTGAGGCTCAGCAGCGCGCCGCCGCAGCGGCGCAGCTCGAGTCCTCCACACAGCAGGCGTTCGTCGGCTTCGAGGGCCGCACAAGGCTGCAGCTTCGCCAATACGAAGCCCAGATTGCCAATCTGGAGGCCCAGCAGGAGCAGACGAAACTCCGGGCCGACCGCGCGGCAGGGCTGGAGGCGCAGGTCACGGTGCTCCATTCTGGGCTCACCGTGTCCGAGCAGCGCGTGCATGCACTCAGAGACCGAGCCCAGCAATGGGCCAATGACCTCGCAGCCACGGCTGAGGCGCAGCGCGGCGAGCAGCTCGAGGTGCAGACCGCGCTGCAGCAGCGTGTTGACATCCTCGAGCAGGAGGTCGAGAATTGGAAACACATCGCATCGGTGGCTGAGGAGCGGCGGGTGCAGCCGCCGCAGCACGATCCAGTGCTCTCCCAGCCTCTTCCGCCGCCGCTGCAACCGCAGCCTGACCGCCTGACGGGGCGTTTCGTCTCTGCGGACGGCGTCCTCGCGCAGCCGCAGCACTTCCACATGGCCACGCCCTCGCGGCCGTTGGCCGCGCCACAGCTGGGCGCGGCGGCCGCGTCCGAGCCGGCGCCAGCGCCGCACGCGCAGCCGCGCCCTGGCCCGAATCGCGGCGTGCTCCCTGGCCATGGGGCCGGGGTCACCATGAGGGCTCACATCGCGGCCGCCGGCGCCCCCGGCGGAGGCGGCCCGCCAGACCGCCTTGGCGCCGGTGGCAGCGTGCGGTCCGAGCCAGTCCAGAGGCTCCCGACCCAGTTGCAGCAGCGCCCGTCCGCAGCGCAGGCCCCCGCAGCTCAGCCTGACCTCCCTCCTGAGCTTCAGGGCCCTCGCCGCCCTGGCGGTGGCGACGGCGCTGGCGGCGACGACTCGCCGCCTAGCACGCCTGGGGCCTCCGGCGCGCGCCGCAGCCAGAGGAGCAAAAAGAGTAAGAGGTCACCCTCGAGCTCGTCGATCTCGACTGAGGACGACATCCGCCGGCGGAAGGGAGCGGTGAAGTCCTTGACATTGGACCCGCTGCCCTCTGCCGTGGGCTTTCGGGAGTGGGTGCAGGACACCCACGTGAAGGTGAACGCAGCGAGCAAGCGCAGCAAGCGCCGCACAATGCGGTGGATGCAGCGCATCGAGACCGTCAACGACATCTCGGAGCTCGAGGCGTTGGCGGAGAAGCAGAAGAGGTGGGACGATCTCGACTCCGCGCTCGCCGAGGCCGTCTTGGCCATCGCCAACAGCAACTTGAAGTGTGAGCTGCTGATCTACCGCGAGGAGCGGTCGAGGATGGGCTTGCCGCTCTCCGGCCGCTGCGCGCTGTGCATGGTGTATTACAGGTGCACAATCGAGCGCGGCCATGCGATGAGCGTCGACCTCACCAACTTGGTGGGCCTCCGGTTCGGAGGGGACCTCGAGGGCTTCTTGAATGCCTGGGACTACGCCTTGATGGCCTTGGCCAAGGTGCCGGACGAAGACATGCTGTGCTCGCTCCTCGAGTGCCAGCTCTGGAAGTGCGAGGGGTTGGTTGGAACCCGCTTTCGTGACCTATGATGCCGCCGAGGAGGGCGCCGCGACCCGCACCTCCGCCTTCCTCTGCAACGCCGCGCGGCGGGAGATCGTGCGGCGTCAGCGCGGGCAAGTGCGGGGCGACTTGATGAAGCTGCCTCAGAAGGCCGCCCCCGCCAAGGCCGCCGCAGCCGCAGCCGCAGCCGCCGCTGCTGCGAAGGCCAAGGCGCAAGCGACGCCGCAGGTCCGCTCCGGTGAGATCTGCCAGATGTTTGCTCGGGATGGTTCGTGCCGCTTCGGTGCGACTTGCAAGTTCGAGCACGTCGGGGCCGCCTCTGCGCCAGATGCCGCCGCGGCGAAAGCCAAGGCCAAGGCCAAAGCTGAGGCCGCAGCCAAAGCTAAGGCTAAGGCCGAGGCGCAGGCGAAGACGAAAGCGGCGGCCGCCGCCACCTCCCCCGCCGCTGCCGCGGCCAAGCCAGATGACCGGCCAGCGTGCCGCTTCTGGCCTAAGGGCGAGTGCGCCAACGGCGAGAACTGCGCGTTCAAGCACGTTGGCCCTGGCAAGGCCAAAGTGCCGGGCGCCGTCTGCCGCGCCGCCCCGGCCATTGGTGGCCCCAGCGACGACCTTGACGAGTTCGCTTTGGACTCCGGCACTGGCAATGACTTGGTCCCCGTAGGGACCCAAGGCGCCCGCCGCCAGCGCGACGACCTTTGCTTCCTGAGCACGGCGAACGGCGTGATCGCGCCCGAGACCACCGTGACTGTGGGCCTGGAGGCGCTGAACGAGGATGCCGAGGCCATCGAGCTGCCAGATACCATTCCGGCGCTCTCGCTCGGGCGCCGCTGCGCCCAGCATGGCTACCGCTTCGTGTGGGAGCCGTTCGCTGACAAGCCCGAGTTCTACGCGCCTGAGGGCTCGCAGGTCGACGTCCGCGTGGAGAACTTCGCCCCGATGGTGACGGGCAGCCGCCCCAGCCAGCCGGCCGGCGCTCGCCGACAGGTGCGATGCATGCCTGCCATGGCCTCCGCAGAGGCTGACCACGCAGCCCCCGCCGCAGCGGAGGTCGCCTCGAACGCGTGCTCGAGGGCGATCCGACCGAGCACGACGCGGAGATTGACTGGGACGGGATCCCGCTGAAGTGCGGTGTCTGCGAGGACGACGTGGTGATCGACGCTTCGATCCATAACGACCCGCAGTCCATCCTCCACCTGGCCACGCACCTGCCGAAATGCCCGCCCGGCGTCTGCGCGGGGTGCGACTTCGGGAAGACGGCGAAGAGCCGCAGCTCGCGCCGCCCCGCTCCAGCTGTGGAGCTTCATGCACCGGACGCTTCCGTCGAGTCCTTCGGGGCCCTTGTGCACATGGACCACATCGAAATGGAGCGCGGCTCTGAGGCGAGGAAGGCATCGCCCTACAGCCTGCACATCCTGGACGAGTCCACGGAGTTCTTCTCGCCGTACCCGGCGCGCCGCCGGGACACCGACACAGTGCTCAACAACGTGGGCTCCTTCGACTCCGTCCCGCCGAGGATTCGGAGGTGGTGGACCGACTCTGCGCCCGAGTTCAGGGCAGAAGCGCGGGTGGTGCGCAGCAAGCGTCCACTCGCGCATTATCAATCGACACCGCGCCGGGCTGAAGCCAACGGCAAGATCGAGCGCGTGAATCGGTGGCGATCGAGGGCACGCGATGTTCCCTCCACCAGTCCGGCCTCAGCGAGCGCTGGTGGCCTCTCGCCGAGCGGCACTGGGCGGCAAACTACAACGGCAGCGTCAAGAACACGGCCGGCCTCACTCGGTGGCAACGCCGCTTTGGGGAGCCAGCTCCCTTCGTCATCTACCCGTTCGGCGCCCTCGTCCTCTTCCGGCCGCCAGCCGGCTCCGAGCTCCCGAAGCTGGAGGGCGACCCCTGCAGCTCCAGCAAATGGAAGAACCGACTGGTGCCTGCACTTCTGGTCGGCGTAGCGGCCGGCCCGGCCGAGCAGTGGGCCAAGAGTTACTTGATCGTCCCGCTCGCGGCCATCCTGGCCGACAGCCGGGCCTCTAGAGTCAGCGTCCGCACCGTCGCCGACGTCGTCTTCCCGTCGAAGGTGACGTTCCCTCTAGCGCAGCGCCTGGCGTTCAACGGCGCATTCCGTGACCTCAGCCTGCCGGCGCCGCACACCAACGACGACGCCGAGGGGGGCTATGAGCTCATCGCCGACGAGCCTTGCGAGGAGGACGTGCTTGCGTACGACGGGATGCTGAAGGAGAACAGCCCCCAGTTCTCTTCGACGAGGGCTTCGATGCTCGACGTCGCCTTGGCCATCGATCCTGACTCCCAGGAGGGCCTGGACGTCGTGGGCCAAGCCGGCGATGGAGACGCAGGCGCCGACGATCCTCGTTCTGGCCATGTTGCGGTCGAGCCCGACGTTGCCGAAGCTGCGCGGCTCGGCGTCGACGCCGACCCCGTCGCGCAGCGGGAGATCAAGCCTGGACCCGGGCGCTCGCCGCCGAGCGGCTGGAGGCGAGACGACTTTGGCGCCGACGGCCAGATCAGGCGTTCGGCGTGGGTGCCACCGTGGTCCACTCGTCCGCCTACGCTCGAGCCAGAGGTGTGGCTCTCCCTGACCATGAAGCACAGGCAGGCGGAGCGTGACAAGTGGAAGGCTGCTGACCCCGCAGGGTTCGCAGCTCAGGAGAAGAGGCGCGAGGACTACCAGAACCTGAAGGCGAAGGGCAAGGTCGTGACGGCCGTCCCATCGATGCCTCGCCTCGCGTGCTCTGCCTTCTCGGGCACCCCGCACGAGGTGTACTACGAGCCGCTTCGGCATCCTTGGCACCGAGGCTCGGCCGCAGCTGGCGGGCAGCACGCCCGTGCTTCTTCCAGCGATGCCCGCGTGGCTTCCGGCCGCGCCGCAGGACCTGCAGCCCCGGCAGCGCCGGCCGGCCTCGTCATACAGGCGCCCACGGTGCCTGAGATCATCGCCGCAGCGATGCCAGCCATCATGAGCGGCAAGTATAACCAGATGCTCGTCGAGCTGTGCTGCTCTCCGGAGTCTTGCCTGTCCGCCTTCGTCCCGGCCAGGTGCATCGCCATCCGCGTGACCGACCCTTCCGAGCTGTTCAAGACATCTTGAAGAGGGCGGCCCGTAAGAATCTGAGGACCATGATCAGGACAGCCGTCCCCATGGCGGTGACGCGGGCCTTGATCACCAATGTCGCGAAGGTGTGCACCTACGCTCGTGACAAGGGCCAGGACGTCACCTGGGAGTGGCCTACAAACTCCGACCTGTGGTCGAACGACCGCGTGCACCAGCTGATCAACACCGTCGGCGGCAAGTTCGTGAAGGTATCGGCCTCCGCCGTCGGCCAGCAGCATCAGCATGCACGCCGCGTGGTGTACACCCAGAAGGAGTGGACGCTGTGCTCCACGGACGACTCCGTTACGATGATTTTCGAGAATTATTCCGTCGACGAAGCTGCCGACAGCAAGGAGTTCGTCCGCTGCCGCGGGAAGTTTGCGAAGCAGACCGCCCAGTACACGGAGCAGTTCGCACGTCTCTTCTGGAGCGCCCGCCGCGCAGGCATTTTACCTGCTGCTCCTGGCGTCCCGCGGTCCCGGGCATTCTTTAAAAGCACATCCGCCATCGACGACAGTGACGACGACCCGCACCACGAGCATCGTGAGCATGATGCTGGCCCGCCGCGCCACCCTCTGTGGTGCGCCCTCGTGACGCGGGTGGTCAAGCCCAAATCGTCCGAGGCAGATTGCGACGGTGCCCGCAAGGCGTTGGAGAAGGAGCTGCACGGGATGCGCTCCAAGCAGGTCTGGGACACCAGCGATGTTCACAGTTTGCGGGACCTTCTGAACGACGAGTCCCTTTCTGACGCCATGCTGGGCCGGGTGTTTGCAATTCTGGGGATAAAAGGAGAAGAGCTTGGAAAATATGCCCAGCAATGTAAGGCTAGAGTGGTATTTCAAGGATCCACCATCCGAACTAAGTCGGGCGTGTCGGCTGCAGACCTGTTCGAAGAAGTTGCCAATGCTCCGGCATCCTTCGCCGCGGCACGCGCTGCCCTGGCGGCCGCGGCCCTCGCCGGCCGGGAGGTCAGCCTGAGGGACGCGGAGGCTGCATACCTCCAGGCTCTGATCGACACTCCGTTCCGGATCCCCGCCTACGTCGAGCTCCCACGGGAGTGGTGGCCAGACAGTTGGTTCTTGGACGACGCAGCACGCCAGAGACTTAAGTATGTCCGGCCTCGTTGCCGGCTCAAGAAGGCTCTGTATGGCCACCCCGAGGCCGGGGCGCCGTGGGAAGCCAAGTTGAACAGCATTCTCAAGCAGCATGGCTGGGAGCCCGCTGGCCTCGACCATCCTGGAGTTCATGTGCACCCTGATGGAGGCCTTTTCGTCGTGTACGTGGACGACATGCTCAGGATCGCTCCGCCGAGCATCGCCGGGCCATTTTGGAGGGCGCTCGACACGGCGATCGTGTTCAAGGAGCGGGAGCAGGAGATCGAGAGGTACTTGGGGGCCCGCTACACCATGGACCCGGTCAGCCCTGCCTGCCCGTCGGCCGCTCGCCGGCTCCACACGGACATGGACGACTATGTGGCCAACGCCTTCGCCAGGTTCGCTAGCGAGTACGGGGGTGAGCTCCGCAAGGTGACGTCGCCGTTTCTCTCGCCGGAGCAGTGGGCTGAAGACGGCGTGCGCCCCGGCGTTTTTGCCGGCAGCTGCGCCTCGCACGTTGCGACGTTGCTGTTTTTGTCCCGGGTCGCACGGCCTGACATCGCCGTCGCCGTGCAGCGCCTCTGTTCGGTGGTGTCAAGGTGGAGCACAACCCACGACGCAGCACTGGTTCGCTTGTACGCCTACCTGAAGGCCGCTGGCCCCATGGCCCTCGCCGCCGAGATGGCCCCCGATGACATCTTCGACCTGGAGCTCCTGATGTGGTCGGACGCCGACTGGGCTGGCGACTCAGAGCACACGAAGTCTACAGGCGGCGTCCTGGTGGAACTTCACAGCCCGACTTCCGGTCGACGCTGGCCGCTTTCGTGGGCTGTTCGCAAGCAGACGTCCACGGCCGGCTCGACAGCCGAAGCGGAGACGGTGGCTCTCAGCCACAACAACAAGCACGAGGGCATTCCCACGCAGATGCTCCTCGAGCGGATGCTTGGCATCGACATCCCGCTGGTGGCGCTCGTGGACAACACGCAGGCCATCTCTGCGGTCACTAAGGGCTACAGCAAGAAACTGAAGTTCTTAGAGAGAACCCGCAAGGTGTCCATCGGGTTCTTGCACGAGCTTGTGGTGGAGCGCGGCGCGATGATCCTCAAGCGCGCGCCCACCGCGACGCACCGGGGCGACGGCTTCACGAAGGCCATGTCCCCGGCAAGGTTCATGGAGGCCCGCGACCTCATGGGCATGATCCGCACCAGGCCTTGAGGCCTTGTCGCCAGACATTCTGAATGTTCTCACACGCTGCTCGGCGAGGGGTGTGTGGAAACACTGCCACACGTCGTTGTATTTTTCCCGAGTATCCGCCTTCGCCACGTATGTAACATGTAATTAATGATTATTTGTATACTTCTAATGTCCACGCTAGCTGGGTGGACGCCGGCGTGTCGCCACTTCGGGGGTGTACTTTTCATTTTCCTCAGACGCCATGCCTGTGGCTATCTGTGAGCGCTTCCGTGGCTGCCAAAGAGATGCCCGTGCGAGAAGAAGCGATGCCCGTGCGAGAAGAGAAGTTGCCGGTGCGAGCAGCGAGCTGGTGCGAGCAGTGTAAAGGCTGGTGCGACAAGTTGCCGGCACGCCGGCTCATTGCAGCGCGAAGTTGCCGAGAGCATTCTGGGGGCAATTTGTCATTCTGTTCTCCACAACTTATAGTATATATTCAAGCTCGCTTCGCGAGTTGCACTTGTAAGATTTAACTTTGTGCTATACGCACGAGTAGGTTAGCTCCTGTGAGTCACGTCTGTTAAGCTTACTCCGGGTGCGATTTATTGTCTCCGCGGGCACAAACCGTGTCCTGCGAGCGTGGCCGAAACTCCTGGGCCAAACCTGGCCCTCCAAACGTCCATCGGCCACGCGGCCGGGACAACATAGTCATTAGTTGGCCCTCCCCGGCTGCGGTAACGCGTCTGGGAGGGCCAGCAGCCACACAGCTGAGCCTAGGAGCTGCATTTGCCAGTCGTTCGGTTGGCAAGCCGCGGGACGGATGAGGGTCCGTACCCGTTTGGCTCAAGAACCATGGGCGCGCGCCAGAAAAACAAAAGTACGCCCCGGGGCAATAGGAGCATTGGCACAGCTGCGGCAACGCGTCGTGCCCGTGCTCGCTTCCTTGCCTCCGTGCGTGCCTTGCTGGTGGCGGCGCGGCCGGGCCTCGGCATCCCTCCAACATACTTATACTATGTGTTCGTCGCCCCCCCAGGGGCGACGCGCGCACCGAGAAATCTTGTAGTATATGCGTCGTGGCGGGCGCTTTCTGGCCACACCGCTCGAGAAACGATATACTACAAGATGGGTATACTATATGTTCGGGTCGGACGCGCGCCTCCAAGGCGGACATACAGTATTAGTATGTCTCTGTGCGTCCAAGGGCCTGGTGCATCCGTGGCGCCGGAGGGCCCCCCTCACGATCCCTGTTCGGGAGGCGATTCACCTGACTCGCTTCCTGCGTCGACTCAGCCTGGGGTACACCCTTGAGGAGGGATACCGCCTGCCAGAGGAGGACGACGAACTCAGCGTCTGCTCCCCTTCCACACCCTCAGCAGACAGAGAGATAGACTAAACCGCTCTCAACAGGAGGAGGAGGAGGAGGAGGAGGAGGAGGAGGAGGAGGAGGAGGAGGGGAGGAGGAGGAGGAGGAGGAGGAGGAGGAGGAGGAGGAGGAGGACGAGGAGGAGGAGGAGGAGGAGGAGGAGGAGGAGGAGGAGGAGGAGGAGGAGGAGGCTCGCCTTGCCCCGTTTGCCCCCCTCGCCTCGCCCTCCCTCCGCCGCTCTGCGGGCGCCGCCGCTGGCCCCCGTGCTGCCGACGCGCCGCCGCCCGCCTCCCTTTTCCGTGCCCCGAGGCGTGGCGCGGCTGGGCCGCCCGGCGCGACATCCAGGAGCCTCTTCACCAGCCTCGAGGGAGGGAGGGAGGGAGGGAGGGAGGGAGGGAGGGAGGGAGGGAGGAGGGAGGGAGGGGAGGGAGGGAGGGGGGGAGGAAGGGGAGGAGGGGGAGGAGGAGGGAGGAGGAGGAGGAGGAGGAGAGGAGGAGGAGGAGAGGAGGAGGAGGAGGAGGAGGAGGAGGAGGAGGGGAGGAGGAGGAGGAGGAGGAGGAGGGAGGAGGAGGACGAGGAGGAGGAGGAGGAGGAAGAAGAGGAGGAGGAGGAGGAGGAGGAGGATGAGGGAGGAGGAGGAGGAGGAGGAGGAGGAGGAGGAGGACATCCAGGAGCCTCTTCACCAGCCTCGAACTTATCCCGATCCCCAAGATTGACACGCCCATAGGCGATGACAATCTCAGGGATGCGCCCACAAAGCCTCAGGGAATCCTTGAGATTGGCATCGCGATGAGGCGATGCCCAGCATAGGGATAGGGATATGTTCCAGGCTGGGAGCCTCTGGCCGCTCGCCGCCGCGCGCGCGCGGGCCTCCCCTGGGGGGCACGCAGAGTCAAGCACTGGCGAAGCGTCCCGGCGATCCTATAGCCCAACCGAACATGTTCTAAAAACCTGTTGTGGTTTCCGCGACATATTCTTAGAACATTTCTGGCTGGGACTGTCTTGTTTTAACGCTTGAGGCTTATGTTCTAAGAACATTGTTTTCTTCTTAGAACATTTTTGGGTTCTAAGAACAGTTCGTGGTAGGACTATAGGAATGCTGGGACGGTCGGTCCCTGCTCAACAGAGAGGGGTTGCCTCCGATCGGGTATAGCCAGGACGCCGGGTAAGGGGACCCGGTGAGTGGCAGGGCCCCGGAGCCCCCGAATTGGCCAGGATCGTGAAAAACCAGGCTTGTCGTAGCTGGTGCTTTTTCGGGTGACGGCAGTTCCAGTTGGTGGAACGGGGCGGGGGGGGGGCGTCCCCCAGTACACATCACTAACAAGGTCCCCACTAATCCCAGTTCTGTCAACGCCGGATCCAAGGTGGGGGTGAAGCGAGCGAGCCCAGCTGGGTGCTCACACGTCGTCATGCAGGGGCCGTCCGCATCGTTTCTTTTGCTGGAGGAGGGAAGAGGAGGGAGGAGGGAGGGAGGGAGGGGGAGGGAGAGAGGGGGGAGGGGGAGGGAGGGAGGGAGGGAGGAGGAGGGAGGGAGGGGAGGGGTGGGGAGGGAGGGAGGGAGGGAGGGAGGGAGGGAGGGATGAGGAGGGAGAGGAGGAGGAGGAGGAGGAGGAGGACGAGGAGGAGGAGGAGGAAGAAGAGGAGGAGGAGGAGGAGGATGAGGGAGGAGGAGGAGGAGGAGGAGGAGGAGGAGGAGGAGCCGGCTGCCAGCCTCAGCGTCTGGATGAAGAGGAAGAGGGAGGAGCCGTGGGCGGGAAGCATATCTAATTATGTCCACGGCCTCGCGGTCCAGACCCCCCAGCATCGACTCCATTGGCGGAACGCACCCCTGGGACCGCGTGTCCATACCACGAGACCCCAGTTAAGGGGACCCGGTTAGCGGTAGGGCCCCGGGGCCCCTGAATTGGCCAGAATCTCTAAACCAGGTCTGCCGTAGCTGGTGTTTTTCGGGCGACGGCAGTTCCGGTTAGTGGAACGGGGCGGGGGGGCCTCCCTCAGTACACATCGCTAAACCAGGTCCCACTAAACCCATTTCTGCCAACGCCCGAAATGGATACCTATAGGACCACCCTTCGGGTGATATGGATGTTCGGGGGGCGGGGGAACCAACGTCTCATTCAATCGATTTCACATCGATCAAACTCTTGATCTACTAGCAGATCTCACTATCGATCGCATAATCGATCTCACAACAGATCTCACAACATAACTCACTAGTTATCGATCTCATGATCGATTCGACAATCGAACACTATCAATCTCAAAAGCGATATCATTATCGATCTGACAATCGAACTCACTATCGATCTTACATTCGGGCTCACTAGCGATCTCACAACTGTTCTCACTATAGGTCTTACTATCGATCACACGATCGGTCTCACATTCGATATCACAATAGATCTCAGCATCTATCTCAATATCGATCCCACAATAGATCTCACGAGCGATGTCACTCACCATCGATGCCACAGCAGATCTCACTATCGATCTCACAACAGATCTCACTATCGATCTCATAGTAGATCTCACTATCGATCTCACGACAGATCTCACTATCGATCTCACCGCCGCGCCACCGACAGGACACCCCGCGCCGCCGACGGGACACCCCGCGCCACCGACGGGACACCGCCGCGTCACCGACGGGACACCGCCGCGCCACCGACGGGACGGCCACCGCGCGGCAAGGGAGGGAGGAGCGGACAGCCAGCTACACAGCCCCTAGCCACGGCGGCATGATTTCTTTCGCGCACGCAGCGTCGCCTCGCCCGCACGCACGACACGAACACGAAACCGAAACCGATTTCCTGGTGGGGGGCTTTCCGTTCCACTGCGATATCAGCCCCCAGCCTCCGAATGAGCTATTCGTCGCTCGTGGTCGGTATCACCCGAACACACGTACTCCGTGACCATTTGCGCGCCCTGCTCCTGCGTGCCCCCCCCCCCGATGCGGAGGTATCGGACACAAACGTTGAGGTTGATTTGACTGCTGGGCCCCGGAAACGGCAGAGCTGTTTTTTTTTTACCGTTTCCGGAACACAATTTTTTGAAAATGGAAGTGGCGACAAAAACGGCGACCAGAAACGGCAACAAAAACGGCTCCGGGATTGGAACCGGAGCCGGAACCGGAAACAGAAACGGCGACGGCACCGGCAAAACACCGG